AAAGAGGGAACCACTCCACTTAGCAGGGGTACAAAAGCCAGGCCCCTTTATTATGGGCCTTGCCTCGCTGGTGGGTCAGGGGTACCAGTTTCCGTACACAGAGCTGGGGCCGGTGGCCGGGACGGGTGGGGTGGGGTGGCCGAGAGGGACGGGGTGACCGGCCCTCCTTTGCGCTGACCGCGGCGGGCGCTGTGTGACTGCTGCGGAGCGGGTGGACTTGAACGCCTCATGCTTCCCCGTGTTTGTCCCTCCTCATGTGGCTCTTTAAGACCATCACTCTCCAAGGGCCTTCTTGATATTTAACGGGGTAGTCTCGATTGAAATCTAATAAAATTGGGGGTTGCCTTCCCCTAAGACACCCGCCGAATGGCCCGAGGTGAGGGAATTCCGGCGGGGCTGAGGGCTCCCCCGCGGGGGCCGCCTCTGGTCCTCCCGTCCCGCAGCCCCGCCCCGTTCCCAGCCCGCCGGCCACGCCCTCCCCTTGACAGGGCTGTGCCCAGCTCTGGGGCAGGGCTCGGCTTCTACCCCGTGTCTCCTGTAAGCTGCGGATGACGTCACATTTACCGAAGCGTTTGATAGGGCGAGGGGCACAGCTGGTTCCCCGCCAGGCCGGCGGGGCGGAGCATGGGGGGGGCGTCCCGGGGGTGGGGGCGGGGCGGTGGTAGCCTGCATCCGGCTCCGGGTCACTGCCAAGGTGGACGCTCAGGGGCACGGCCGGACGTCTTCGGAGCATCTCTGGGCAAGACTGCATTTGTTCTGGAGAAAATCACTTTTGTTTTCTTTTAATTTTTTTTTTTTTTTTATTGACTGGAGAGAGAGAGACGTTGCTTTGTTGTCCCACTTACCCACGCGTTCGTCGGATGAGTCTCGCACGTGCCCTGCCGGGGAGTTGAACCCGCGACCCTGGCATACGGGGATGACACGGTAGCCCGTGGAGCTGCCTGGCCAGGGCCGTGAGCGAACCACGTCCGCAGCAGCGTCTGTCAGACACGGACTCTGCGCTGGCGTCTGAGCAACGCCGTTGCAACACGATCCAGGGGCCTCGTGTGGGGCGGGGTCCGCGCTGCGAGGCTGTGGCGGTGGGGCCTTTCTGCTCTGCCGCTGCGTTGAAGCTGTGAAAGTGTGGCAACGACACACGGCTGAAACGGGGGCCCGGGGAGCCCTGGGGCCTGAGGTCCGAGGTGGAGACACGCTCAGTGACGAGGCTGCGCCTGCTCTGCCCGCCGCTTCGCCTCTGAGCGGGAAAGCAGCAGTGCCTTTGCCTCGCTGCTGGGCTGGGAGTCTGGTCGCAGTTGTTCAGGGTGAAATAAAAAGCCACGCCCCCGCCCCCCCAAAGCAGAGCGATCCCTCCCCCGCTTCCTGTGCCTGAGCCCCGGCCGGCCGGCAGAGATGCCTGGTCAGCGCCTTGACGCCACCCGGGGAAAGAGCCGACGTGGTCAGCCACCCCAGTGGGCGGGAAGGGGACGGTTTGGGGTGTGGAGACGCCCTGCACACTCACCCGACAGCGGCTTTCCCATCTTCTCGGCTTAGCAAGGCACGGGGCCGGGGGCGGGGCCGGGGCCGGGGGCGGGGGCGGCCGCCAGGCCAGGCCTCTGTGCCCCCCGAGTCTATATCTGCAGCTGCCTTGTCTCTGGCGCCAGCTCTGCCTGGGTCGAAGGTCCCCCCCGTGTGGCGTGGCTTGTGGAGACCCCCGGTGGCCTTGGTGTCCCCAGAGCCTGTGCGCAGTGTTTGGGGGCCCTTGCACCCTTTCTCTGAGAGCGCGCCTTCTGTTCCCAGCACCCTCTATGGCCCCCAAACGGCTACCTGTGTCGGGCCCGGCGGGCTCGGTGGCAGTCGGCGGACCCCGGCCTGTCCTTGTCTGCAAAGGGCAGATCTGCGGAGGGACAGGGTGCGGACAGAGGAATGCCGGGGTGTCAGAGGGCTGGAGCCTGCGTCGTCACCCCCACGTCCCTCCCAGCCGGCCGGCCGGCCGCGCAGGAAGGACCCTCCAGCCTTTTCTCTGCTTCCCTCGCTAACAGGATTTCCAGCTGTCCACGCCCCTGAATAAAAAACAAAACAAACAAAAGGGTGGTTTGTTTCTTCCTCGACCCGCCTGCTACCAAGTGGCTCCTTTGAAACCCCTGGGGCGCGGGCGGCGGCATCTGTCAGCACTTGCACCTGGGCCCCTGTGGCGGTGCTCACCTTGCGGGCTTCAGGCTCCTGTGCGGGAGCGGCTTCCCCTCCCCCGGCTGCAGCAGCAGGCGGGAGCAGCTGGGGATCCGCGGAGGCCATTTCCCAGCCAGGTCAGACAGACGGCTTGGCAGCTCGAGACACCTGAAGGCAGGTGTGCACACCTGGCACCCGCCACTCCCCCCACCGCATCAGAGCCCTGACGAGGCCCCCGCGCTGATTCCTCCAGGCAGGTGGAACCCTTCGGCACCCGCAAGAAGCTGCTTTCCGGGGGGTGGGGGGGTGGCGGCGTAGGGGGCTGCTGAGCGGGAGGCCCAGGAAACCCACAGAGGCGAGAGGCGGCCGATTGCAACCGCTCACTCACAGGTGTGAGCGTCTCGTGTAAAAAAGCCGACAGACCAGGAGAGGGCTCTTTCCACTTCATTATTCACTTGACCTTCCGGGGGTTGATGTTTTGGCCACTCGAGTGTCCTTTCTGTCGTAAACACTCATTGTCAGCAATCTGGACAACAAGCCCCGCGTCCCAATCGTGGAATACATTGCCCAAAGCTCCGTCCCATTGCCCCGCAGCTAAAGACAAAGACTGAATTGCATGCACTGTGTTTCCGCAGGCAGATTCCCGCCAAAATTGGCCTTTAAAAAAATATCTAGAGACCCCAATTTATCTCCAACGACGGGGTGGCCTGGGGGCAGGCGCAGGTGCGGCCGTGGCCACCAGGGGGCGCGGGCACATTGTGGAAATGGGGCGGCAGGCAGGTGTTTCACCGTAAATTGGGGGGTGTAGGCGCAGCCGGGGTGGGGAGAGATTCCCGGATCCCAGCTCCCTTCTCCACGAATGCAGCCGCGTCGTGGGGCCCGGTTGGTGGGAAGGCAGGAGGAAGCTCCGCCGCTCATTCCCCTGCGTGCGGCTTCGGGCCTCCCGGCTGGGGCAGCAGCCACAGGGGCCTGGCTTGGCTGCCGCACCTGGACAAGGTCCCCGGAGGGAGGGCGGCTGTTTTGTTTCCTTTTCAGCGGCGGCCCTCAGGGTCAGCTGCAGATTAACTGGGGATTAACTGTTCTCAGCAGTGTGGACATTCCACCTGGTGAGTGTTGATTTTAACCTGAGCCGATTGCAATTAAATAACAGCCGGCTTTTCCTTGTTGACCAGCGGTGCTGGGTTTCCAGTCCCGTGTGAGTTGCAGGTGGCACATTCCCACCATCGCCCGGGACCCAGAGTGACACGATGCCTCTTCTCCTGCCCGGGACAGGGCCGGAATGTTCCAAATGGCACAAATCCAGAACAATGGATTCCAGGACAAATCTCGACGGCGCTTGGCAACTCTCTGTAACAGGGCACAGATGTCCCACCTCTGGACACCGCGGATAATTTGGGTTAGATTTCAATACCTTGAGCAGGACGAGAGAGGCATGTGAACCCTGACCAGTGTGGCTCAGGAGGTTGGGCGCTGCTCCACAAAGGGAAAGGCGGCTGGTTCGATTCCCGGTCAGGGCACAGGCCTGGGTTGCGGGTTCAGTCCCTGGACGGGATGCTTAGAGGCTACTGATGAATGTGTCTCTTTCACATGGATGTTTCTCTCCCTCTGTTCCCCCTCTCCCTCGTCCTGTTGAATCAGCGCCACCTGAAGACCTCCTCTTAAAGGACCCGGTTTCCAAGGAAGGTCGCGCTGGGAGGCGCTGGGGTGAGGGCTTCCACATACCTTCTTTTGGGGGGCACACAATTTAGCCTGTGGCCCCGAGGGCACGGGACAGCGAACCCCGGAGAAACGGCTGCGTGCGGAAGGAGCCTCAGGCTACACATCACAGGCAACGCTGTCTGGGAAAAAGGAGCTGGTCCCTGCTTCTCTCCCTCCCTCGGGGAGAGATGGGCTCTTCACAGACCACCAGGTGCCGAGGTCAGGTGCTGGACATCAGACCGCAGGCCGTTTGTAGTTAAAAATTGGTTTCCTAATTGCCTGGCCTGTGTGTTTGCCTTCCTCTCTTCCTTCGAATACCTACCGTGTCTTACCACGCATAACGTGCACTGTTTCGCCTCAGTTTTTGAGGGAAAAATAAGGATGTGCGTTATCCATGCGTATAAAGATTCCATATCATGGGTGTAATACTGTATAACAATCCCACGTATACTGTCGCCGGCGCAGTCGCGGGTCTGACCGCTGGAGCGAAGGCCCGACAGCAGCTCTGACCCTCACCCGCACCCCTGAACCCGGCGCCCAGCAGAGCAGACCCTCGCAGGCCCGATGGCCGGGGGCGACGGCCTGTGCAGCAGGTGCCCCGGGCCAGCGTGCCGCGGGGGTTGGCGGTGGCCCGCCCTGATGCTTGGCCCCTCTCCCGGGCCCCAGAGGCCCTCAGACACCCCCTGGCCCACAGAGAGGGGCCTCTCACTCCAAGACGGAGGACGGCATGCCCAGGCAAGGACAGTCGGTGGGAGGGGGCAGGCGGAAGGTGAGGGGTGGCCACGACATACTCTGCCACGAGGACAGTGTCCGCGTGCGGGGTTTCCCAACAGGCCGTGGGGAAACTGGAGGTGGAAGAGCTAGCCCATGTTTCCACCCCAAGTTCTTTATTTTTAATGCGTGGTTTGCCTCTCGCACGCCCCCTCCTGAGGACTTGGCCCACGACCCAGGCAGGTGCCCTGACAGGGACTCGAACCGGCGACCCTTTGGTTTGCAGGCGGGTGCTTGGTCCATGGAGCCGCACCAGCCCGGGCTCCGACCCAAGTTCTAACAGCACCACTCCCCCCAGCCCACTTTCCAAAGAAAAATCCATCAATACAATGGTTGGTTTTGAACCTTTAATAGAAATTGAAAAAAAAAAATGCAAAAAGAACACAGCGTGGACACCCGCGCGCGAGGGGGGAGCTCCCCGGCCGCAGCATCGGGGCGCGCGCGCCGCTGACACCACTTCACACTCGGGTCACTTTGGTTCATGAACGTGCCACGAAGGACTGGCCAAGAAAGTGTTCGGACTCACATTTTCTGGCCGCGTTTGTTCTAACAGATAGAGATTTACTTCCAGTTGAAGAAAAAAAGAAATACTTGTTTGTGCATCAAGTGTATTTAAAGATCTGACGAAAGCTTTCCACTAACTTCTGTTTTTTCACAGAATGCCGACACTGGTGTTGAAAAACCTTTGCACGTTCTAATCACTCCTTTTTAGAAAATGTCTCGGGGTCATTGCCAAGTTCAGGATAACCCCATCTTCCTGTCAACGACATTCCCCTAAAACCACTCGGCCAGGGAAACGTAGAATCTACGGTAAGATTTCCCTCCAGACAACAAACCCGCCGCCCCCAGGAACCCCCCCGAGAGCCAGCTTCCGCCCGGGGGGGGGTCTTCTCATCAAGCCGCTTTCACAGAATTTAAACGGAAAACATCGCAATTTCAAAATACAAAAGAAGATAAATTTGTAAGTAAAAATTCCATGTTCACTAAAACCCACAAAATCGGAGTATTTCAAAGGACCAGGGCTCAGTGGAGGCCACGACAGAGGAACTTCCCACCTAAAAGAAATTATTGCTGAATGCTGCCTCCTGCAGTGCTGAAATGGACAGAGAACCCTCTCTAACATCTCACGCGTTAGAAAAAAATAAATATGTAAGAGGATACAAGGCTCAGATTGGTTTTCGTACACATTGCACTTGAAGTTAAAGACCCAGTACTTGCAAACCGGGTCTCCCGTGGCCTGTGCTGTTCACAGACTGCGCTGTGCTGAGTGACGCCGCGGGCGGAGCCTGGAGACGCCCCCGCTCCGCCCGCAAGGCAACCACGAGTCGCAAGTCCTGCAGGGCTGTGGGAGAGAACCGTCTCCCGGCGCCAGAGCGCCGCGGGCACGACCGTCTGGCCTACGAGGACCGAAACGCAGGGCGGCCCGAACTTCGTCACCGCATTGCCACGTCGCCGCGCGGAACCGCCCTGCCGCCGCCCGCTGCTCTCAGATTGTCTGCACTGGGCGCCGTGGGAGCGCATCAGCTCCGCACCCACGTGTGCGCGCCCGTGAGAGTGCACACGCTACCACTCTCTTCTGACACAACTCGACTTTTAGAAATCTTCTGGATAAATATCCTCTCTCTCGCACCTCACCGGCCTTAGCGCAGTCAAGCTCTCCCCGGTGGGCGTGACCCAGACCTGGGAGCTGGGACTGGCGCTTTTAGTTCAAGGCTTTGACACGTGGCAACTTGCGCTTTGTGACGTGGATGGCATCGAACGCTTAGAAGCTGCGACCCGCCGCCCGCCCGCCCCGGCCGGAGATGCAGGGTCCACGGGGCAGCTGCGGCGGCGTCTCCAGGCGAGCCGGCCTGCACCCGCCTGCCGGTCTGCGGGGGGGTCCCCGGAGTCGCGGGCCAGGCAGGCCCGTCGAAGCAGGTCGTGGAGGGAAGGTGTCTCCGTCGCAGTTGGAGCTCGGGTTTCTGACCCACGTCTGGCTGTCCCTTCAGGAGCAGCGGGTGCAAGACTCAGTCGCTGTGTGGCTTCTCAGGGACACCCTACAGGCGGAGAAGAAGGGCGCGATGAGCCCAGCACGGACACAGCCACCGGCCATGAGGCGGACCCTGGACGGGGGGAGATGATGAAGTCCCCGACCGTGGGGGGCGGGGAGGGGAAGGGGACAGGAAACAAGGGGCGCGGGCACCGTGCACAGCGCGCCGGGGGCCGGGGCGGCGCACCCCTTCCCAAGACACACCCCAGTTTCCTGGGTTTTGAACAAGTTTTCGGAGTTGGAGCAGAGCAAGCCCGTTTTCACAACCGTTAAGATGAGAAAGGGGCTCGTCTCCCCTTTCTCTGAAGGAGGACAGGACTCGGGATACAGCTGTGTATCCGCGCTTGCTCTCCACGGGGAAAGCATGTCCCCTGCTCTTCCTAGAGAGCCCGCGGCCTGTGACAGGTGACCGGAGCCAGGTGCCACTGCACGCCCCAGCCCAGGCCGGTGGGAGAACAGCAGGCCCAAGGCCCACTGTGCCGGGGACGGACGCACACCCCGGGGCTCGGGCCCCCCGCAGCCGGGATGCACAGCACTGGCCAGGGCCCTAATCTAGTGGTTGGGGAAGGGCGACCACCTCCTACTGCAGTTTCGGGGGAAAGCCCCACAAGGTGCCCTCAGAGATGTCAGTGAGGTGGGGCCGCCCCGCCCCGCCGCTCCGGCCTCTGTCTAACTGCGGTGTGGGCCACGGTCCCGGCGTCCTTGTGGTGTGGCCGACACGTGCACGCCTTTCTCAATAACTGTCACTCTCCAGTCTCAAGCAGCCGTTAGTCAAGACAAAGGGAAGCGTGTTTCGTAAAGCAGCCCTATCCAGCTCAGCGCTTCCGGGGCCGGAGTGACCGCGACGACGTCACGTACCATTGCCAGCTGTCGCCCGATGTTCCCCACGGTCACGCCGCCTGAGAAGAATATGCAGGGCAGCCAGGAGCGGATGTAGAGGAAGTCTGGAGACGTGTACCTGCAGGGAGAGAGGTGGCGTGCTGGCTGAGCCGGCCCCGCGGAAGGCCGCACGTGGCCTGCTGACCTTGAGACGTCGCAGGCCGGTAGCGTCCGAACGCCACGTTCTCCTTTCTGCTCGGCCCCCCTGCGCGTCGGCGGTCCCTGGCCGTTTTGCTGGTGTTGCCAGGGACCGGATTAATGGAAAACGATGTTTTCACCGACTGGGGAGTGGGGGGGGGGGCAGGGGGGAGGGGGAGCTCCGCTAGCCCACCTCTCACCTCCTGCCCGTGTGGCGCAGTTCCTAACAGGCCACGGACCGCGGCCCCGGGGCCCCTGCTGTATGTGACGTTGTGGGTGGCGCGTTTTCAACGTGCGAACCAACACTAAGCAGCGTTTCTGAGAACGCCACGCCTCGGCCTAAGGTGTGTGCGCACCCACCGAACGCGCCCCTCAGCCAGGGGGCGGGCTTACTGGTAGACCCCGTTGTACACCAGCAGCTGCGTGATCAGCGTGGCGAGGAAGGCGATGGTGATCCCCAGCCCGAGGCCGCTTCTCGAACGGTCAAACGTCCACCACAGGCCCAAGGACAGGGCTGCTAACGTCAAGGAGAGCTGAACGTTATTGGCAAAATCCAATTTCTGGTGATGCAGAAGTTAAGGAAAGGTAGTGATTCTTGATGAGGTGACACAGAGACACCCCAAAGCCTACAGGCGCGTGTCCTCCTGTGCACGTGAGCCTGCGCCCATGAAAGCTGCCGAGATGGCCGGATACGAGGGTGCCCCAGCCGGGAAGCTCCCTGGGGCTGCTGGGTAAAAACGCGGCTCCACGAGCCCACTTCTCCCAGCCGCGTGGGAACTCTGACGGCGCACCCACCTCAGAACCATCGGTTTAGCTACAAGTCGCCGCCGCCCTGCTCTCAGGAGCCCCCGCCTTGTGCGAGGCCCTCCGGGGACTGGGGGCCGCGGTCAGCGGGGGGCCGTGGCCGGCTCCCTGCGCCCTTCAGGGACTCCCTCACCACCGAGGCAGGCGGGGAGCCGGTGTCGGAGCCGGTAACTCTGAGGCTACCTTCCTACGGTTTGGAAACGGGACCTATACCCTCGTTGTGCCGAAGGCGCCCTCGGCCGTCTCAGACCTGGGACACTGCGGACCTCCTTCCTGAAACGCGCCCCCGGGGGACGCGCCCCACCTGGGGACGCCGGCGCTCAGGGCCAGCCAGGGTGTGACCAGCCAGGCCTCCCTGGAGAAGCCGGAGCAGCAGCCCTGGCACCACCTGCCGCGGGGCCACAGGAACCAGCCCCTCACGACTCAAGGACAAAACGTCAGGTCAAAACGTAAAGGGAACGAACAGGACAGACTCTGGGGGCCCAGCCCCGCGGCCTGAGCAGCATGGCCGCCGCCAGAGGCGAATGCGAGGCTCGGGGCCGCGGCCCAAACTCCCACCGCGTGGAAACCGCGCGCCAGGCCTTGAGGCGGAGCCCTTGGAAGAACACTGCCCCGCCGACCCGTCGGACCCCACGCTTGTTCCCAGTGACGAAAGGCTCCCACGCACGCCCCCAGACCGCGCTCCGGGCACGGCGCACCCGTGAAGGATACGGCGCTGGCGTGGTTGATGCCCACGAAGACTGCCACGCAGCGCATCACGCTGGCCCACTCCCGCTTAAACTTGTGGGGCTCGCCCAGGTGGCTGTCGATGCAGGGGTAGAGCAAGCCGACGACCGCTGGCGGACACGGAGAGAGAACAGCGTCAGGGTGCTGCGGCGGGCACAACGTGGTGATTCACCGCAGCGTGAAACGACACGCTTTCGATGTGGCAACTGATGTGTTACATCTAGGAAAAGGGCTGGTTTGTGTATCTGCTATAACATACTACTGACACTCAGGCTGATTTTGTATTTCTGTTTTCCTGGAGTACAAAAAAAAAAAAAAATCAGTGTCGAGACGTTCAAGGCAAAACCGCTTGTGTTAGGTTTCCACGCTGCCGGGAGCTGAGCCGAGGCTCCGTCGTGGGGGCCCGCAGTGCCGGAGCCACGGACAGCCTGCCTTCGCGCTGCGTCACCCGCGGGGCTCCCGTCCCACACCACCGCGGCGGGCCCTGACCTCCGGCCAGCACCGGTGCCGGCCGCTCGGACGCTGGCACCTGGGTTGTGGGGGGCCCTGGACTCGCCGGCGGGGGCCACGGCACTAACTGGAGGAGGCCCGGAGCCGCCCGCATGCCAGCCCCGCGGGGTCGCGCCGCCACGGGACGATCCCGCTCCTGCCCCGGGGCCCAGGCCCTGAGCCAGGGAAGCGCGCGGACCAGGCGGAGGCCCACAGGGGACCTCAGCGAGCGGCCCGGTGACCGGCGGGGATGCAGCTGTGGTCCCCATGGGGGTCACAGAGCTCACCCTGCCGAGTCCCTGGAGCAGGGAAGTGTGAGAGCTGGGCAGAGGCTTCGCCATGTGTCCCCAGGAGGAGGGAACTATTTTAGGTTCTGGAACAAAGAACCGAGAAACGCAGTTCAGCAAATACTCAAATGAAGGACTTTCAGTTTCAATTTCATGCTCTATTTTACCAAGTTCTGTTTTGGAACTTTGAAAAACAGGGGTGCAGATTCTGTAACGCTGCACAGTAGCTTCACTTTACCTTTCAGAGTTAAAGGCTAAGTGGGTGAAAATGTGCTACAGAGTGTTTCCTTCGTGCTCTTGGCTGAGGTTAAAAAAAAAAGGGGGGGGGGTCCAAGGAGGTGCGTCAAGTATTCCTGGAACTTCCTCCTGTTTTCAGTACAAAGGAAGCCTCAACTCAACTTTTTAAAGTTAAGTTTTGAAGTCAAAGAATGAAACTATCGCAGCCAATGTGTACGGACAATAGAATCCACATCTCAATCTATTTCTCAAACAAAATTTTTACCGTTTCAGTTGTACAGTCGTACACTTAGAGGGTTTAGAAAAACGAAGCAGGCCCCTGCCTTTGAGGACCCAGGTGAAAACTCCTGCCTCCCTCACCCCTGCGTGTCCTGGCTGGAACCCGCTCCACGCCAAGCCCCCTGCCTTCCCTTTGCCCCCTGTGGGTGATGTGTGATGTGTCCCCACGGGGCAGGGGCGCCGCAGGGAGGCAGTGTGTAGAGTTAAAAACACCAGCCCCCACCACGCTGCCGACCCGGGACCCAGTGTCCACGTCTGTCCAGTGAGGCCGCAGGGGGTCATCAAAGCGGGCGGCACAAAGGAAGCGGGCAGAGGGGCCGGCCAGAACACGCGGGGGCGGGGGGGGGCGCGCCTCTGCGGGGCCTCCCCAGGGGGTCTGTGGGCACCCAGGACGGGGGCCGCCCTACTTCTGTGTTTCCATGCAGCGGAGTCGAGGCTGCAGGAAGCAGCTGCCGGGCTGTGTTCATCAGCACATACTCTGTGACGGACAAGTACTGTGTGATCGGGGCAGGGGAGGACTCAGCACCCCTGTCAAAGCAGCAGACAACCAACAATTGGGCGTGGAGACCACCCCGGCCTCGGTCCAGACGAAGCCTGCTGCCTCTGGCACAGGTGCCCAGCCCGGTGCACGGCACCCACCCGGGGGGCGGGGTCACCCTCCCTAAGTCTGGGGCGGGGTGGGGCGGAGAGGGGCTCTGCCCCTACCCCCTACCCCCGACCCTGACCAGAAGGAAGTGGGGAGGTGGCTCCCAGGCACCCCCTCCGCCCACGTGATGGTTTGTTTTCAGTCCCCCCAGCCGTAGCGTGGTGGCGGAGGCAGCCAATAGCAGCCCTGGGACTCCGCTCACCAGTTCTGCAGGGGACCAATCACAACAGCCGGCCAGGTGTCAGCCTGGGTCCCAAACTGCTGAACCGGGACCGGGATGTCCCGCCCTGGGTCCCAGCCGGCCTGTGGCTCAGACCTGGTCTCCATCACCACCGCGGGGCTAGGATATGGGGTGCGGGCCCCGCCCCCTCCCCCAAAGGCCAGCCCCAGAGAGGCCGGCTCACTTGTCCCCTAGATGGCTCCATTTTCAAACCTGCGTTTCCCAGACTCTGAGAAACCTTGTTCACCAAACACTTCTTTTTAAAAATGTATGAAACTCATACTCACCAGCCGCGGTCCCACAGCAGGGAGGCACCCACCAGGCGGAGGAGAAGACGGTGGCGATCACCTCATCGGGGAACAGGGTGACATTCCTTTGCACCTGCAGCAGGTTGAGCACCAGGGCGAGGACCACCCCAACGGAGAAGAGCACCAGGCCCCTCTGCAGCAGGTGGTGATGCCAGCGGGTGGCCTGGCCCCCCACGCCCCGGCTCCCAGGCCTGCCAGCCGGCTCGGGGTCTGAGGCCCGGCCGGCCGCCCGCAGCGCGGGGCTGGACGCGGAGGAGGTGACCATGTCCCCGACTTTGGCCGCTAACGCACCGGCGCGGGCTGTCGGGTGGCCTCGGTGCCTGGAGCCGTGAGCACAGGAACAACTCCAGAAGTGGCCGTCCAGTCTGGGCATCAGTCACCGGGGTGCGACGGGCTGTCCTGGAGGGAAGAGGGGGTCGGGGAGGCGGTGTCGCGACCAAGTTCATTTCCAAGGGGCAAGGACAGGGAGGCCCGCTGGGGAGGCTATGCTCTCATTTCCCGCCAGCGTGCCCAGGAAAACAGTCCCCACCAAAGCCTGGGGGAAAGCGCGCACGACGGAGAAGTGGGGGCGCGGGCACGGGCTGCAGGGCCGGCTCCGTTCCCGCGCGAACGCATCCCGTGCACGCCCCATCCGGTCCCAAAGTTTCCCAGACCCCGCGCCTTTGCAGGCCGCCCAGCGCGGGCGAAGGGGACCAGGAGCTGGGCCCACAGCGGTCAGGGGTGCAGCCCCCTTCCCGGGGCTGAGGTCGGGGTCGCAGACCCGGAGGAGGGGCCGGCTCTCCCACTCCCGGGATCCCGTCATGCCCCACCTACCAGGCCGAGGGGCGCCGCGGGCTCGCCGACAGAGGGGGTCTCGGAGGAGGGGACGCAGAAGGATCCCGGCCCGGACCGCCTGGAGTTGGGCCCGCGGCGCCCGGCGCGCGGCACGAGGCTTATAAGGAGCGCCGCGGAGCCCCGGGTCACGTGACCCCCGCGCGGCCCACCGCCCCGCTCGCGTGCCCGGAGGCGTGGCCTCCGCGCGCCCCGCCCCGCCCGCGCGCCCGTGCGCTCGCGGTCTGGTGAGGCGGCCGCGGCCAATCGGAGGCGGGCGGCCCATATGACGTAGACACACGCCACCGCAGGCCCGCTGCCTCGGGAGCGCGGACGGACGCACGCGGGCGCACGGGCTGGGGGGCCGCGCGGGGCTGGGGGGCACCGACGGACGCGGCGCGGGGCACCGAGGGGGCTGGCCGAGCGCGGACGCCGCGGGCCTCCCTCGCCCGGCCCCGGTGCAGCCGCGTCCCTCGCCCGCGGTGGGAGGCGGCGCCGCGCGGATTCCAGGGCGGGTGGGAAAGCCGCCTGGAGAAGTGCGCCGCCGCAGTTCCCCGGGGTTCAGCCACTGGAATCTAGACCATGACCTTGACCCATCCTTGGCCCGTGGACAGGCGTCCCTTCTGACCTTGTGTCCTCTGTCGTCAACAGGTGGTCACTGCACCTGCCGAGTCAGCTGATGGTGCTCCGACCTGTATTCTGCGTCCTGCCCCGAGGCTCCTAATGGCCACCTGGAAACCAGTTCCGTGCTGGGTTGCACGTGGTTGTTCAAGGCGTTTTGCGTTTGCAGGCGACCAGAAGCCTTTGGGGGTGTCAAGTTTTTTGTAAAAACGTGGATGAGAAACCTTCCACTCACACAGTAGTCTCTTCCAGTTTCCTGTCTGTCCTCCCGTTTGGAACGCGACCCGTCAGAACCACTCAGGGAGGAATGAAGTCCTGTTTGGTCCTCTTGGTGTGCCCTGTATTCAAATCTTGTTCCCCACGTGGGTCACACTGTCTGAATGGGCGGTAGGCCCGTGCCCATTGAAAACCCATCTCTTGTTCAGCAAGATCAGGTTATTGAAGATGTTTTAACGCAATCGAGTTCGTGTCCTTTTGTGCTGTCCCCAGATGAGCAGAGATAGGGAGATCCTCTCAGGCAAGGCAGCCTGGAGCTCAGGCAGCATGAAACACGTTGTGTGTGTTATCTTAAGCACCCAGGTCTGTGGCCAAGGGAAAAACAAAACAAAACAAAACAAAACAAGCCCTGGCCGAGTGATTCAGTTGTTTGTAATATCGTCCCTTGAACCAGACGGTCGCGAGTTGGATTCCAGGGCAGGGCACATACACACGGTTTGAACCCTGGTCAAAGTGCATATGTGAGACAACCAATCAACATTTCTCCCTCACATCCATGTCTCTCTCTCTCTCTCCCCCCCCCTTTCTTTTCTCTCTCTCAAATCAATAAACAGATTCTTGAGTGAGGATTTTTAAAAAAAATGAGAATGTCTTCCTGATGCATCCGTTTTTCCCAAAGGTCATCTGTTCGGGGCGCGGGGTTCACGGGAACGTGCACTGACTGATAAGAGGAGCCTGCGGGAAAAGGGAAGCTTGCCTGGCCGTGCCCGTGGTCCTGGCCGTCCGGAAGCGCAGGAACCTGGAGGACGCTGGACAGGCTCTGTGTAAAGACGTTTGCCACGCAACACCTTGTCAGTGTTGCCCAGCGTCAGTCCCAGTTTCTCTCTGCGGCCACCCCTCATTCCCCGGCCAGACACCGGCTGTTCGTGGGTGCGTGTCCGCCCCCAGGTCCTGATGCCTGGCCGGCGTCAACCCTCCCTCGTCTTTCCTACTTGTGTGATTCGTTTTAAACGTACCGTCGCTGTAGAGGATGCCTGAAAATCCCTCTCGAACCCTCGTGTTCAAACAAGGCACAGTGTGTCTAATAATGCGGCTTGTTTTCACGTCTTGAACAAGAGCCAGACTGTGGGCGTGGCTGGAACGGAGGGCCTCGCGCCTCACCTGCTCCGAGGCTCGGGCGGAATCGAGCTCCTCTCTGAGCTCCTCTCTCTGCTCCTCTCTGAGCCCTGGTGTCTTCTGTTCCCAAAGGTTCAGGGCAGTTTTGACTTGAGGGAACCTTGCAATCTAGGCCTTGGTCACTATCTCCACTCCACCTTGCACCAGTGCCGGATGATAGGTAGATAGATCCATCCGTGTCTGTGTGTCTGTCTGTCTCTCTGCTGTCACAGTAACATTGGGACTTTGTTTGCTCCTCAGTCCCCTGAGCCACACCAGGCAGGGGAACTTTGTAACAGCAAAAGCTAAACAGAGGGCCGCTCACCTGCCCGCTGGTGGGGACCTGGTGATACACAGGATAAACAATGGCAGGTCCATGCGAAGAAATACCTCGTAACGGACAGTCGTTTCTTCTCCAACCCTCAGAAGACCCTGCCAGGGCTCCCCCTGGCCCCCGCCCCCCGTCATTGTCAAGCCCGCGTCCCGCACTCTGAGAAGCACTGATGTAAGCCGAGCTGCGAGCCTCACAGAGCGATGTCTGCATCTCAGCCGTGACCCTGAAAGGAAGGCATGTCATGGGTTCCATGAGGAGACACCGGCAAATGCAGGGAGCTTCTCTTCAGCACGGGCTGGTCGGTTCAGGTACCGGAGGCCCAAGGAGCAGGGGCGAGACCTCTTTGCTCAGCCCAGAGCGGCGGGGTCCAGGGCTCTCGGCAGCCCAGACGCCGGCGCGCCTGTCTTCCGGCACCTGAGGCGGACCCCGTCTTTCACCTCCTGCTACCCTGCCTGGCCACGCAGACTAGCCCCACGCCCCTTCAAAGGGCGTGATACTTCTGCCTGGGTACGTACCTTGGGAGAACATTTGACGGGTTCCGAGTCGTCTGGCTCCCGTTTGGAAAGGCCCTGTCAGCTCTGCTCGCTGGTGGATGCGTTAGGGTCTGTTCCCGTTTTCCTCTCTCCCCAAACCAATACGAGTCCGGCCCAGCCTCTCTGACTCTGCGTCCCCCCGTCGCACCTGCTCGGGACTCTGCGAGCCGGAGGAGGCCCCGTGGAGACATGGGAGGCACAGCTGCGGGCTGTCGGCTGGCCTCGATCTCCGCGTCACGGCACCGCGCCCCCCTCCCCAGCGGGGCTGTGGCTTGCTGTGCAGTCTGGGCCCGCGAGTGAAGTCGGTTTTGGGGGGACGGCGGTGGAGAAACCCGACTGCGCTGTGTTGGAAAGCGCAGCTTCCGGGCGGGAAACCATACCCCGGTCCCCTGAGACGTTGACCTTTACCCCCAGAGCTGGTGTCGGTGGTTTCGCGACCCAGGACGGGCTCCGCGCGGAGCCACGGCGGGGTCTGTCCTCCCTGCCCTGTCAGCTGTTTGGGGCCTAGTGTGAGGGGGGATGTGTTCGTGCAGGTGCCGTGGAGTTCCTTTCTTAAAAAAATTCACATGAGAGGATATTTTATTATTATTATTTGAGAGAGAGACGTGTGGGGGGAGAGACAGAGAGGGAGCAAGAGAAGCGTCTATGTGAGAGAGAGGCACCCGTCGGTTGCCTCCCATACGCCCTGCAAGCGGGGATTGCATCGAATCTGCAGCCCAGGTATGTGCCCTGAGCGGGGCGCGAACCCCCGGCCTTCTGGTGCACGGGACGAGACTCCAGCCGACGGAGCCACCCAGCCAGCGCCGTTTCATTCTTAAGGGCGCCGCTTCATACTCGTCGTTGTTGCTGTGCTGTTGCACAAGGCCCTCATGGAGTGCTCGCCATCGCTTACCAACGGACACAACAGCGTGTCTTCTCCCAGACCGCTAACCGGGGCAAAAAGTTCCCGTAGCTCCCGCCTCCAGACAAAGAAGAACCATGGCGTTGCGGGGGGAGGGGGGGAGGGGGGGGGGCGGTGGGGGCGGTGGGGGCGGTGGGGCCTACGGACTTTGAGACCTGCCGTCGTGAGCCATCTACTGCCCCTGGCCTGTGTCCCTGCTACTCTCATGGAAACATTAACAATCATTAACTGTTTGTAAAAATAGAGTAGACGATGATTGTGAATGTTGTTTTTAATCAAAACATCGCATGCTGATGATGGAGCATTCAGGAAATACGGAAAATTCTATTTTAGAAAATCCATAATCCAGCTCTGGCCGGGTAGCTCCGTGGGTTAGAGTGTCGTCCTGGGACGCCAAGGTTGTGGGTTCGATCCCTGGTCAGGGCACAGATGAGAATCCACCAATGAAGGCATGAACGAGTGGAACAACACATTGATGTCTCTCTCCCTCTCCCTCTCCCAAAATCAATAAGTTAAAAAAAAGTTAAGACATCCTTAACCCCACCATCTAGAGATACCCACCGCAACATCTGGGGTGTGTATTTCTAGCTATTTTTCCTAGGCGTGCCTGGAGGCGGGGTTTAAAAGACACAGGTCGGACCCCGCTTCCCACGCAGGGGGACCCGATCTTCTGAGATCGGGACCATCCTGTGAAGTCAATCAGTGTAGACACGCCGTGACTGTGTAACGGTTTTCCGGAGGCACAGTTCACAAGCCGTACAGTTCACCCACGTGACGTGTACCCGCCGACGGCCTCCCGGGTCTGCACAGAGCTGTCCCGCCGCGCCCACCGCCGCCGATTTCAGAACATGCTCCTCATCTCCCCAAGGAACCCCCTCTGCTTCCGCTCTCACCCCCTCAAAGCCCCCCCCCCCGCCCCTGCCCGACCCAGCAACACGAAGCCCCTCCCTGTCTCCGCGGGCCTCTGCTCTGGAATTTCCTAGGCGCGGGGCTGTGTCCTGTGCGGGCTTTGTGGCTTCCTTCTTTTGCTTAGCACAGTGTTTCAAAGTTCATCCCCGTTGCAGCCTGTTCCGCGTTCCTTCCTTTTTCCGGAAGAATCGTGTCCCACTACAAGGAAATGCTGTGTCTTGTTTCTCTCGTCCCGCTGGCGGAGGGCCCGGGTGTCGCTCTCTGGCTGGGGGCTGGAGGAGTAGCGTCTCCGTGAGCCTTCGCGGGTGAGTCCCTGCGTGGACGCCTGTTTTCACTTCCCTGGGCGAGCTGCTGGGAGGGGGCCCGCTGGCCGCCTGGCGGCTCGGCCTTCGTCGTCATCATCTTCTTTTTTTCTTTTCCTGAAGATTTCATTCATTTATTTTTAGACAGACGGGAAGGGAGGGAG